GGTACGGAGGGAGTTCTGGATATGGGGGAGGTTCTGGATATGGGGGAAGCTCAGGGTATGGAGGGAGCTCAGGCAGGAGAGGGTCCAGCTCTGGGGGAGGAGGAATGAGCTCCAGTGGGGGCGTCTGTGGGGGAGAAGGAGGCTCAGGGTATGGAGGAAGTTCTGGATATGGAGGAGGGAGCTCAGGCAGGAGAGGCTCCATCTCTGGAGGAGGAAGCTCAGGTCACACAGGATCAAGTTCTGGTGGGGGCATTGGTGGAGGTTCAGGGTATGGAGGGAGCTCAGGGTATGGAGGGAGCTCAGGGTATGGAGGGAGCTCAGGGAGAAGAGGTTCCATATCTGGAGGAGAAGGAGGAGGCTCAGGGTATGGAGGAAGTTCTGGATATGGAGGAGGAAACTCAGGCAGGAGAGGTTCCACCTCTGGAGGAGGAAGCTCTGGATATGGGGGAATGAGCTCTGGTGGGGGCATCTGTGGGGGAGAGGGAGGTTCAGGGTATGGAGGGAGCTCTGGCAGGAGAGGTTCCACCTCTGGAGGAGGAGGAATGAGCTCTGGTGGGTGCATTGGAGGGGGAGGAGGTTCAGGGTACGGAGGGAGTTCTGGATATGGGGGAGGTTCTGGATATGGGGGAAGTTCAGGGTATGGAGGGAGCTCAGGCAGGAGAGGGTCCAGCTCTGGGGGAGGAGGAATGAGCTCCAGTGGGGGCATCTGTGGAGGAGAAGGAGGTTCAGGGTATGGAGGAAGCTCTGGATATGGGGGAAGCTCGAGTTATGGAGGGAGCTCTGGCAGGAGAGGCTCCATCTCTGGAGGAGGAAGCTCAGGTCACACAGGATCAAGTTCTGGTGGGGGCATTGGTGGAGGCTCAGGGTATGGAGGGAGCTCAGGGTATGGAGGGAGCTCTGGGTATGGAGGGAGCTCAGGGAGAAGAGGTTCCATCTCTGGAGGAGAAGGAGGAAGCTCAGGGTATGGAGGAGGAAGCTCAGGCAGGAGAGGTTCCACCTCTGGAGGAGGAAGCTCAGGATATGGAGGAATGAGCTCTGGTGGGGGCATCAGTGGGGGAGAAGGAGGCTCAGGGTATGGAGGAGGTTCAGGGTATGGAGGGAGCTCTGGCAGAAGAGGTTCCACCTCTGGAGGAGGAGGAATGAGCTCTGGTGGGGGCACTGGGGGAGGAGAAGGAGGTTCAGGATATGGGGGAGGTTCTGGATATGGAGGGAGCTCTGGATATGGAGGGAGCTCTGGCAGAAGAGGCTCCACCTCTGGAGGGGGAAGCTCAGGATATGGGGGAATGAGCTCTGGGGGCATCTGTGGTGGAGAAGGAGGTTCAGGGTATGGAGGAGGTTCAGGGTATGGAGGGAGCTCTGGCAGAAGAGGCTCCATCTCTAGAGGAGGAAGCTCAGGACATGGAGGTTCCGGTTATGGCAGTGGTGGATCCATCTGTGGAGGAGAAGGAGGTTCAGGATATGGAGGGAGTTCTGGATATGGAGGAGGGAGCTCAGGCAGGAGAGGCTCCATCTCTGGAGGAGGGAGCTCAGGTCACACAGGATCAAGTTCTGGTGGGGGCATTGGTGGAGGTTCTGGATACGGAGGGAGCTCTGGGTATGGAGGGAGCTCAGGCAGGAGAGGTTCCACCTCTGGAGGAGGAAGCTCAGGACATGGGGGAATGAGCTCTGGTGGGGGCATCAGTGGGGGAGAAGGAGGCTCAGGGTATGGAGGAGGCTCAGGGTATGGAGGGAGCTCAGGCAGGAGAGGCTCCATCTCTGGAGGAGGGAGCTCAGGTCACATGGGATCAAGTTCTGGTGGGGGCATTGGTGGAGGTTCAGGGTATGGAGGGAGCTCTGGATATGGAGGGAGCTCTGGCAGGAGAGGTTCCACATCTGGAGGGGGAGGAATGAGCTCTGGTGGGGGCATCTGTGGAGGAGAAGGAGGCTCAGGGTATGGAGGGAGCTCAGGCAGGAGAGGTTCCATCTCTGGAGGAGGGAGCTCAGGTCACATGGGATCAAGTTCTGGTGGTGGCATTGGTGGAGGCTCAGGGTATGGAGGGAGCTCTGGCAGGAGAGGTTCCACCTCTGGAGGAGGGAGCTCAGGATATGGAGGAATGAGCTCTGGGGGTATCTGTGGAGGAGAAGGTGGTTCTGGGTATGGAGGGAGCTCAGGCAGGAGAGGCTCCACCTCTGGAGGAGGAGGAGGAAGCTCAGGACATGGAGGATCCAGTTATGGCAGTGGTGGATCCATCTGTGGAGGAGAAGGAGGCTCAGGGTATGGAGGAAGTTCTGGATATGGAGGAGGGAGCTCAGGCAGAAGAGGTTCCACCTCTGGAGGAGGAGGAATGAGCTCTGGTGGGGGCATTGCAGGAGGAGAAGGTGGCTCAGGCTATGGAGGGAGCTCTGGATATGGGGGAAGCTCAGGGTATGGAGGGAGCTCAGGTAGAAGAGGATCCACCTCTGGAGGAGGAATGAGCTCTGGTGGGGGCACTGGTGGGGGAGAAGGAGGTTCAGGGTATGGTGGAGGTTCTGGATATGGAGGAAGTTCTGGATATGGAGGAAGTTCTGGATATGGAGGGAGCTCTGGCAGGAGAGGCTCCATCTCTGGAGGACGAGGAGGAGGAGGAAGCTCAGGACATGGAGGGTCCAGTTATGGCAGCGGTGGCTGCTTTGGTGGGGGAGAAGGAGGTTCAGGGTGTGGAGGGAGCTCTGGATATGGAGGGAGCTCTGGATATGGAGGGAGCTCTGGATATGGAGGGAGCTCTGGTAGAAGAGGTTCCACCTCTGGAGGAGGAGGAATGAGCTCTGGTGGGTGCTTTGGTGGGGGAGAAGGAGGTTCAGGATGTGGAGGAAGCTCTGGATATGGAGGAACCTCTGGATATGAAGGAGGTTCAGGGTATGGAGGAAGTTCTGGATATGGAGGAGGTTCTGGATATGGAGGAGGTTCT